TCAGCCGGGTCCCCATGGTGGGGGTGCTCTCTCCATGGAGGGTAAACACTCAGGAACTATGTGTCGATTTGGAAATCTCCTTGGAGAACCACTGAATAGTTCCATAAACACTTTTTTTTAAGCAACTTGGGACAGACTTAAGCTGCTATAAAAAAAGAGAACTAGACCTATATTCCTCAAGTCAACACACTAAAATTGAAAAAGGGGACCTCTGAGGAATACACACAGGAGAATGAGAATTAACGAGGTGTTACCTTGGAGGGATTTAGGCCAAGTGACACAGTGAAAAGCAGACTTTCCCCCTAACCCCCAATGACCTGACATAGAAGGGGCCGTTGGCATTTGTTTGCATCAATTAGAGAGACTTGGTCTAATTGTAGAATCACTCCCTAGGGAGATGTTGGAAGGACACAGATTACTTTGAAGTCCAAGAGGTCTTCCTTTGACCACGTCCTACCACTGTGACCCAGGATACTGCAAGCTGGAGAGGCAGAGAATTAAACAGAAAGGAGGGTTCAGGGAAGAGAAGGAAAGGGTCATTCCCACCTACTTCTTAGCCAGGAGGGGAGAGGGCAGTGGGAGGAGTGAGGAGGAACATTGTTGCTTCCAGTACAGCCAGAATCTGCATTCCCTTCTCCATTTCTGCCACACCAATTTATTTGAATTAGGATAAGAAATGAGAGACAAGTCCAACCCAACCCAAACCCAAAGGGTGCCCAACTCTAGTCAAGTGAAACTTTGAAAAAGGGTTTTAAAACCCAGTGCTTATGGGGTGAATCCTCAACTGGACAGCAATGATTCTCAGCTCCTAAGTGACGGCTTTGCCTTTGTGCTAAAGGGCACCAGAGCCACACAGGGCCAGGGCATTACACGAGAGGCACCAAAGGCGTTCCCATTGGCCAGGGGGTGTCTGCATTTGTCCTCCCTTTGTCTTGAGGTCACCCTTCTAAAGCCCTGTAAAATGCATGAGGAAAGGTGAGTCACTCATCAAGCTCAAGATAGCAGGGGCTGAAGGGACTGAGTGACAGCCCAGAAAAGACATGATGGATAGAGAGGGTCAGAGTCTAAGTCTGCAGCAGTATATGTCAGATTGTATTTGCCTGCCAGTGGGCCATGAAACCCATTAGTGAGATAGTCAGAATTAAAAAAGGAAATTAGAACAGAACTCATAAAAATACATGTGAGTTAAGTACACTGCATTATTCTTCTTATGAACTCAAACTTTTGTCCTGATTGTAGGTCTCTGTCTTAGTTTCTTTGTTTTCCTCATCTTTCTTTCCTCTCAGGAAGGGGAAGGAGGTGTGGACCTATGCATGCCCGGTATTGAAAAGACCGTGGGTCATTGTCTCTGTGGTTCCGTCAGGTACAGGGGTTCAGGTGAGGAAATGCACAAACACCAAAGCTGAGGCATAAGGCAGTTTTTCTTTCATCACAATTTTGCTGAGACTTCTGGAACAGTAACAGCCCAGCTACAGCTCAACCCAGAGAATCCACTTACTCAATTGAAAAAAAAAATGCAGCAAAACATCTAGATTAATAAAAGGGTTATATGCTAATTAGACTGGATCAACCTGACATCTTTCAGATGTCCAACTTCTTTCCAGAAAAAGCCACAGTGGTGGGGACTGAGGCAGAGGCGATAGGGGAGCAAGCAGTTAAAGGCGAGATCAGGTCGGCACAGGGGGAGCAAGCAGTTAGGGGTGCAATTAGGCCAACAGGAGAGGGCAACTGGGGGCAATCAGGCCAGTAGGGGAGGGCAGTTGGGGGTGATCAGGCCAGCAGGGGAGCAGTTGCAGTTAGGGATGGCAGGCAGAGGCAGTTAGGGATGATCAGGCAGGAAGGCAGGCAGAAAGAGGCAATTAGCCAGGGGTCCTGGATTGTGAGAGGGATGTCCGACACCCAATCCCTGGAGGGATCCCAGATTGGAGAGGGTGCAGGCTGGGCTGAGGGACATGGCTTCCCCTGCCCCCCCATTGCACAAATTTTGTGCACCAGACCTCTAGTACCTCCTCACCCTCTCTTTCTTCCTCCATTCTAAAGAGCAAACGAGAGCACACTATACTTCGTTCTGCACCTTTTTTCCTCCACAGAATACAGTTTCAGCACACGAAGTGCTAATTCAATCTTTCTCACTTTATACTACAGTGTGGTATTCCAGCACACAGCACACTATAATTTCCTTAACCTGCTCTCATAGACATGCAAGCATGATGGTCCTTGGCATCTGTAGACAGTGCTGCAGTGAACACCCTTGAGTGGCTGTCTCCAAGACACATTCCACAAGTGGAGTTCCTAGGTCAAAATGTCTGTGCATTTTAGGTTGACAGAGATTGCCAAATTTTGTTTGCTCCATTCAGATTGTACCATAATATTAGGGATATTTTGCTGCTTGGACACTGAAGCCAGAATTCCTACCACTCTTACTGAGCCCCACTGGGCCTTCTGTCATCAGAAAGTTCCTCATGTCTGGTCTTGACACAGCACTTCTGCCCACCTGCTTTACCACCCCAACCCACACCTCCAGCAGGAATAAACACCATCGGAAAGACTTAGTATTCTTGGATATTTTAAATTTCCTTGTTTCAATGAATGTCCTATGAAAAATTTAACTATGCTTTAACTTGGATTAGACTAGGAAAAGGCAGTTTTTAGTTTCCTAATAACATACTCTTAATATTACTTCCAGATACAGTCAGACTTAGGGATGGTTGTGCAGCTCATGTGTTTGAGCCACCTGGATCCCATCCATGGCCAAATTTTTGTAGTAAGATATGCATTACAACTGACTTTCCTGACCATAACCAGATCAAGTTCATTGCTCTGTTTCTACAAATGCCTCTAGAACAGCTGGTGGTCTCCTCACAACTCCTAGGTGGAGATTAAATTAATATTTAGTGACAGAAGGTAAAATATTTTCTTAGTTGATGTTTGATTTATCAAAAATGATCTATTCTACTGCTAACTGCTTGAAATTTTGCCCTGGAAGCGTCCTAAGAGAGGCAATGCTGCCACTCTGTTGCAGACCAAGTCTTCCCTGTTAGGCTGGCTAAGCGGTGTGGGCAACTTTGAAGATGGAGCAAGTTTCATTAAATAAATAACTAAACCAACAAGCTTGCTTAGCTTCACATCAAAATTAGAACAAGCAATCTTAAGTTCTCTTTTGCTGTCATATTTGGTGTCCTTCAATAGATAGTGATTTTTTCCTGGGGTTAGGCAACACATTGAAACATTTTCACACTTCAGAGTATGGAAAATATAAGCTAACACCAATTTAAAATGTGCTTGCAAACTGTGCTTATTGTCAGTTTCTTATGGGGATAACAATAACTATGACCAAATATGATACACAATAGACATTTCACCTCCAAAAGGAACATTTCTGAAGAGGTGGGTATCATTAAAATGTATATTGGCATGGCACCACAAGCCTATATAAGCTGCTGATTGTCAGGAAAGTCAGTATAAAGTTGAAACTAAAAATCTGCTCTGCTAAATGATCTTTACCAGGGTACTTTTTATCAGGAGTTCAGTGAAAAGGGGAGACTATAAAATATATGCCTAACAATGCACGTCAGCAGCTTGAATGGAGCAAATGAGTCCAGATCTGAGAATTCTAATAAATAAATGAAGTCGAGCATTTATTGCCAACAATGTCATGAGGGCCACAAAAAAATGGAGCTGTGCAGCTGGGAGCGGGCATGTGGAGCCAGAGAAGGCACTGGAGTGCACCCAGGTTTGATAATTTATGGTGTGCTGATGAAGAGACAACTTTCCATATGAGGAACGGCTTACCAGAGAACAGTCAAGCTAAACCAGGAAGAGGGCCAGAGAAAAAGAAACAAAGGGGGTCATGAATAAAAATGACAGCTAATAAAACAATACAAATCTAAAATGCTATAACTTTCAGGAATAATGTAGGGCCAAAAGAAAAGAAAAAAGAAATCTCATTTTGCTGGCTTTGTGACCAATTTCCAAGCACAAGACATTAAACAAAATGAATGTACTGAATTTAAGACCAATTTGCCTCTATGCCTTTATAACTGTAAGTTTGATTGTTTTTAAAGCTAGACGTATTCATAAAAAGGCAAGTGGCAATTTTATTTGTATTTAGCTAATGTACCCATTTTTTGAACAAATATTTATTGAGTACTATTTCATGTCATGAGCTGGACCCTGTGGGGCTAGTGTTGAACAAAGACATGGTCCGTGTCCTTGAGAGGTATATGATCTACTGTGGAAGCAGTAAAGATCACCGTCATGTTCAGGACACTGTCATGAGCTGGGTGAGGGACATAGGACTATAAAGAGGGGGTGGGATGGTGGGGGGGGGGGCGCAGGGAGGGACACCAGACCCAAAGTGGAGCCTGAAATAGAAATAATTTAGTCAACTTTGCTTTCTATATCAATTAGACACTTACCAAACCTCCATGCAATACAAATCTATTTGACTATTTAAGAATTAAAATACACTTTTTATACAAAGATGCAAGTATCTGTGATTCTAGTAGTTTTCATCCTTGAATTCTGGACGTGAGGGGATCTGAGCTGTTTTAAATGACTGTGGTATAGAAGACGTCTTCCTTCAAGTCTCACCAAAAGCACAGTAAACATTCACCACTAGTTACTGCATGGCCCACCTGTGGCAGTCATTTCATTTCTGTTGGATCACCCTTTGCAATAATGCCTTGAGGTAGGCTCCTCACACTCACAGACAAGGGACCGGAGCGTTAGGAAGGTGACTCTCAAGGTCACAGGGCACTTCTGCACCTCACTCACTGCCTTTGGGTTCAGGATGCAGGTTAGGACTGCACCAACAACACATCTACACCCAAGAAAGGGGAATCAATGATATCCACTGGCTTCCCAAAGTTACTTTAGCTGAATTACTCCCTCTTGTCTTCTTACCCCCATCAACTTCTGAAACTGTGTGGAGCGTAATTGGTTGATAAACCACAGTAAAATTTTTCAGAGATTTCCATTCCTAACTTCTCATCCTCACTAAAGCAGTGCTACTAACAAGAGCCAGACACTCCTTATCGTAGTTGGCACGGGGGCTGCTCCCATTGTAATACAGGGGAGTACTTTTAGAAGCTGAGAACTATAACAAACACTTTATTCTGAGTGAATCCATACACACAGGCATTGAGGCCTCTCTGCATTGCAGGTTTCCTTCTCTCTTACAAAGAGCTTTCTTACAAAGAGCCACCCAGCTTCCTGCCTCCATAGATCAGTACCCAATTGAGAAAGGGATTCAGCCAGAGCATTTAACCATGAGCCAATCACATCACCCAACTTCTGTTCTCGGTTGCATTCCTAACTCTCTTTCTTTCCAAAGGTGGTCTATACCCTCACTTTCTGGCCTTGCTGTAAGAATATTTAGATGAAAAAATGGCCAGGCAGGTGTCCCTTTGACCTTGGCAACTTCAGATTTTTCTTTCGCCCCCATACCTTCACCTCCATACATTCTCTAGACCATTCCTCAGCCCTTGGCCAACTGGTATTTCCAAAAATATTGCTTAGTATCTGAGGACTGAGTAGTCTATGAATTATTTTACAGTTTCAATTCAAACATTATTCTAGATAGATCTCACTTTTTAGTGTCTTTAAGATCAATCTTCTCCAAACAAACTAAGTAATGTACTAAATGGTAAAGCTGTTTTATGAATAACACAGTTCTAAAAATATCAAACAGTGGAGGTCTAATATTATATCTCTGAAACTGTGTAGAGCATAATTGGTTGATAAACCACAGTAAAATTTTTCAGAGATTTCCATTCCTAACCTCTCATCCTCAAATTTATAAAACTATTTGCAAAACATCAAGGATTGAATTTCCCTTTTCATAGTATTTGGGCCAAAGTGTGTCTATGGATGCTTGCTTTTAAAATTAGGCATTAAAAAATTATTTAAGACCCACTAGCTTATCAATTGGAATTTAGTTCTTCCTCTGTTTGAATATCTTCCTTATGTAGGGAAAATGTTGTGCTGATGCCTGGGCCAAGCTTCAGGCGAAGACGGCTGGCCACAGGCACAGTGCTTTCATCTAAAGGCTGAAATATTAGTAGGATGAGGGCTCAACTCCTCCGTTTCAAGAAAATAATTTTGCAGCCAGGATGGCCAGAAACTTCAAATGGCAACTTTTCCAATTTGAGGTAATTTCCCAGGAATTTAAGAGGCAATCAGTTACTCTTGACTTTTAAAGAGAACCCGGGCTTGAATGGCACAGTTGTGTCTAAAATTGATCATTTAGTGACAATCCTCTGAAGTCACGTAGGAGGGAGGGAAAGCAGCTGAGACACCTAGACATCTGGATTGAACTATCTAGTTCACTTTCCAGGTTGTAAATTTTCTGGCCTACAAAATGACTTTTATGAAAATAGTGATTTAGCCGAAGTACTAAAATTTTTTTGATTACTTTGATATAAAACACTATAGCTATAAAACTTACCAACTTTTCATCTTCAAGGCAATGTGCCTTTAGGAAAATAGAACTTAAAAAATATGAGTCCTGAAGATATGAATTTTAAATTGTAAGATGAGAACCTTATTAAATGCATTGCTCTACAGCATTTTAAAATAAATAAGATAATTTGATAAATAGCAATATAGTTGAAGTGTAAATAATTTTGTCACCTGGAAATTTTCACATTTGTGGACCTACTTAAATATAAAACGTTTGGACAAAAGGACACATAACACACACACAAACACATGTTTTTACTGAAAACTATATTTGAAGAACAGCCTAAAATCCTTTAAATTTCAATCTCCAAATTTTGATCTTTTTATTTATTTTGAAACAAAGTCTAAGACATTAACATTTAGTGCATAGAATTTAAAATAAAACTGAATATGGTTAGAACATATACATCAAGGGCATATATTTCATAAGAAAATAAAATTATGTACAAAATCACTCCCACTTAGTATTAATGTTAATCCTAACTTGTTTGCTTTTTCTAATTACTGGTAAGCACCACCATAAAACGAGAACTTCGAGAGAAAGGTGATACAAACTCTGTCTAACCTCTCTGGCCCCAGTCCTTCATGTTCCAGTTTTGCTGGGAGGTTCGGTGGCTCCCTGGTTAGGGAGAGCATGCAGAACCCTCCAGAGCCTGGGAGGGTCCTCACAGCGGTGCTCTTGTTCCCAGTGCAGGAGGAGCTCTTCTTTCCTTCCAAGAGTCTGTGCACAAAGGATGCAGTTAAAGCCGGAAGGGGACTGAAGGAGACCCGAGTGTGGGCTGGGACACGCAGGGCCCTGGGGGACTTCTCCTGGCTTGCCGGGTCTCAGCTGGGCTCCTGCATGGTTTGTGAGCATTTCCTTGTCATTCTGCCGACGCAGGGAGGGCTGCTGTGTTACTGCAGGCCCTGCACGCACCTCCGCAGAGGGACAGAGCTGCAGCAGCTGTCTTCTCTGGGGACGCTGTTTCCAGGAAGGAGCAGCGCGGGGAGCCTGCTCTTCGCCAGCTGCCTGGCTCCCCGGGGCGCTCTCCTCTTGCAACCTGCCCTGGATTTCCTCTCCATGAACAGAAAGTAAATGAAACTTTATTTCAGCAAAGGACTGGGCAGTGATCTGGCAGCGGCCACATTTGATTTGTAATTTGACTTCGTCTGCCTGGTTTAGAAGAAGGTCTTCGTCCAGGCTTGATTTGTTTTCTCTGAAAAAGGGAGAAATATTCAACATAAAATTGCATAGGAAAACAGAATTGGAACTTAGCCATCCAAGTACTAAAACACTTACACTGATGAGAAGCGCAAAGGGTGGGAAGACAGAGAGAGCATGGGAAGGCCTTCAGCAGAGGCTGCAGAACCCCAACTGTTGCTCCTGCTTGGGCCACACACTCCTTCCCCAGGGGAGCTAACTAGTCCTGTGACCACAGGAACAGGTGTCACCAACATGAGAGTGAGGCTCTCTATGCTGCATCTGGTTGACAGTAACTGTCCCACATCACCCACCGCTGCCCTCTCTAATACTGAACACCAATACGGTTTGGACATGTTACCTAAAAATCAAAACGGACTACAGGAAAACCATGACAAGGGGCAGAAAATCTAGTATGGGAAAATGTTTACTTTCCAAGGGGCCAATAAGGATTCAGTTCTCTGTCATAGTGGACAGTGGACAAAATAAGGCCATTTCCCTGGTTTACTTATTGTTCTTAAAAAGCCCTGACTGCCAGGCTTACTTGTTTGTGTATAATGCCAAGAAGCAGGACCTGAAGATGGGAAAGGCACAGGAGAAAGTGAATCTGGCCTGAAGGGAAAAATAGGACAAAAGAGGAGGTTTAAGGTCTGGACCCTTTAGGGTAGGGGTGTCGAACTCAATCAGAGAAGGGGCCAAAATCTAAAATCCAGCCTAAATCACGGGCCGAATGGTTTACTGAACAGTCATAAACTGTCATTGTGATGGAAACGCAGCGGAGTGCAGTGATGACAGCGCGGTGCGGGCCACATTGCAAGGCCTGGTGGGACGGATTTGGCCCGCGGGCCTTGTGTTTGACACATGTGCTTTAGGGTCTGGTCACACTGAGGAGCCACCACGGGTTATGTGAAGCTAAGAGGCAACTGATGCTGTTCAGATGTACATTCTGTGAACACCATTTTTGGAGAAATTATTTGTAAAAAATGCCAGGAACTACACACAAAATTTCATATTTCATGTCAGATACAAAAATAATCTGTTATATCCTGGCCCGTGTGGCTCAGTTGGTGGGAGCCTCATTCCATACATCAGAAGGTGGTGGGTTCAATTCCCAGTTGGGACATATACCCAGGTTGTGGGTTCGATCCCCAGTCAGGGTGATCCCCACTGTGAGAGGCAACCAATCAATGTTTCTCACATCAATGTTTCTCTTTCTCTTGAAATCAATTTTCTTAAAAAGAAAATGTTAAAAAATGTCTGTTACCTGATTGTCTCCATCATACCTCAAATAGGCATTACTGAGGTTACCATCATTATAAATCATGTGTGATCAGAAACCAACAAGAAATGAAATTAGCTGAAACTGGTTTAGCTCAGTGGATAGAGCATCGGTCTGGGGAAGGTCCCAGGTTCGATTCCAGTCAAAGGCATGTAGTACCTTGGTTGTGGGCACATTCCCGATAGGGGGCGTGCAAGAGGCAGATGGTAGATGTTTCTCTCTCATCGATGTTTCTAGCTCTCTATCCTTCTCCCTTCCTCTCTGTGAAAAATCAATAAAATATATTTTTTTAAAAAAGAAAAAGAAATGAGATTATTTTTCATAGAGCTGGCCTCATAAAATCTTAACTAAGAGATGTTCTTATAGAACTTATCTTTTGAACACGGGTTCTTAGCCTGCTCCCCAAATCCAAACAGACTTTCTTGTCAGACTTCCCTTCCATTGGCACTCACCTCTGCACGCTGGCGTCCCTGTCCCTGTGCTTTGGCACGTCTCCCGGCTGCAGTTCGCTGGGGGAGGGCTCGGTGCTGATGACAACCCTGTGCACTTCTCTCAGGTGGCCGAAATAGATCCTGACGTGACCAAACACTTTGGCACAAAATTCACAGCACACGAGTTTCTTTAGCCGGTTCTCACCGTGATGGAGTTTCATGTGTGCGCTCAGGCTGCCAGGACGCACATACGCCTTGCGACAAATTCGACAGCTGTAAGGCCGTCTGTTCGTGTGGCTATTCATGTGGTCTCGAAGGTGCTGTTTGAACTGGAAGTGGTGGTTACAGACAGGGCATCTGTGCCAAGGCTTCTTAATGCCAGAGAATCCATTTCTGAATGCAGAGCTGGGCTTGGGGGGAGGGCTGTCGTCCTGCTTACAGCCGAGATGTTTAGGAGCGAACGAATTATTTAACAAACTGTCCTGTCCCAGGGTGCCGGGCCTTTGGGGAGGTGACAGAGCCACCGGAGAAGCCAAGGGAGTCCCAGCGGGCATGACAAGGACGGGTTTAGGCATGATGCTACGATACTTTTTCAAAGTCCCAGGTTTTTGGTCTCTGGATTGTTGGGAATCATTTTTTATTCTTTTATATTTCCTCCTTTTTCCCTGAAATGACAAGATTTCGTCTGGCACCTTTAGTTTTCTTCCTTTTCTCTTTGTTGCCCCGCCACTCAGCTTGGTTCTGTGGTTGAGATCCAGTTTGGCGGCTGGACAGAAGGCACTTTTACAGAGGCTCTGCTTCGACACCTGTGGCCCAGGCACCTTATCGGCCGTCCTGGTGGCTGCAGCAAAGCCTTCCGTGATGGTGGCTGACTTATCCCAGTGTCCCCTGTGCCCAGGGAAAGAAAAGTCTACAGTGTTAGCATCCGGCTCACTTTTATAAACCTGTGTAGTTTTCATACTTACGGGACATAAGACTGGCAGTTTACCTTTGGGGACTGAGGGAACCCACTGGAGGGAACCACCCCAAATGGTTGGTGATAACTTGACCCTGCCTTCTGCAAGGTCAGCTTGTTCTTTATGCTTTTCGCTGGCAACAGCAGCAGGTTTACTGGATGTTTCTTTGCTTGCAAAGTTGTCTTTCCCTGAAATCTTCATGAAGCCCTGCCTGGCAGAGGGCTCCTCGGGTGCGGATGATGTTGGAATGTCAGGAAGGTTCGCGTCGCCACAGTCACTGGTCACTGGAGGTCGGGAGTCTCCGGGGCCACCTCTGCTGGTCAGAGCAGCCGGGCTGATGCTGGCCGGGGCCTGGTCTGGTGGCAGCACTGGCCCAGTGGGACTGGGCTGGGGCAGGGGCTCAGAACAGCCAGGCAGGGAGGGAGATGTGTGGGTTTGGGCATAAGATTTGCGACAGCCACTTTCAGAGCAGCTCAGAATGGGGTTCTTTGTTGATCCTTTATTTCTTGGGGGTTGGTATCGGGGAATAGGCAGTTTAAGGTTTTCAGGCAGGGGCAGTCTAGGTTTTTGGACTGGCTGAACTGAGGCAACCTGAGGCAACGCCACTAGAGAATATGTGCCCTTCTGGCCAGCAACCTGCATCAGAGCGTAATTCTGGGCAGGCAGCCCCAGAGGAGAGCTGATGGGGGGGCCTGGGTTCACCTGATCAGAGAATGATGGCGAAGGGCCCGGCAGCACTCTGGAAGTTAGGACTTTGGACACAATCTTCGGTGCAATGGTCCTAAACTGACTCTTGGTCTGCAATCCTTTTCCACTCTGTATTGTTCCAGAAGGCATGACTGATCACCTGCAATGACATTACAATGTAAAAAGTCACCTTGGTATAACTGTCCTGCTGTTGAGAGTGCAAGTAAGCATCTTGTCCTTTACTCTGCCTTAAGGCTTTCCTAGACCACCCCTCCTCTTCCGAGCAAGCTCCTGCATTCTTCAGCATCCAGCCTAAAGGTCAGCTCCTGCCACCTTTCCCAGCGATCAATCATTATTCTCCTCTCTGGGTCCACAGCTCCTACTACAACATTTGCCACTTTTCACAATAATTTATCTGTGTGTCTCTATTACTAAACAGAGCTTATTGAGAGCTGGGGCTGTCCTCTCATCTTCACTCCACTGATTCCACCCTCTCCATCAACCTAGTTCCAATTTGTCTTTACAGGCCAGTGCACACCCACCCTGTCCTGGTCTGAGCTGCAATCCTGCTACTGGTCTTCCCTCTGGTCTGTTCTGCTATGTACTTTACTTATTTTATATACATGTCTGGTTGTTCCTATAAAAGTTAAGCTTTGCAGGGTGAAGCTGATATTTAATGAATTCATATTGATATTTTCCCCTGTAAGTCCAGTATGAAACAAATGTTTCTTGTATCAAACTCATTTTTTCACTCACTGTCAGGACACACCGTGTGACCCCGTGGCAGTGTGATTATGTTGCACAGCAAATGCATTCAGACTGAATGCCAACTTTGTTGCTGTTTCCCCGTGTGACTTGTGAATTCCTTCTCACACCTTCCAAACTGTTTATGTGTGCTTTTGCAATTAAATCACCAGTATTAAAATAGTTGATGTGACACCTTAAAAAATGCTGAAGGAAAAGAAAACAATACAAAGTGATAGGTAAAGAGATAGGAACAACATAAAAAACACACAAAATCACACAAAAAGCACCTGAAGCCCTAACTGACAGAATAGGACCCACATTCCCTGGATTTATTATGACCAGAGACCAATTACAACTATTCTAAGAAAACAATTCCAGAAACATTTCGATGCACCGCTTCTAAATATTATATTATCTATTTTATTCCTGAAGCTTAAGTAGTAAGGCCTGGCTGCAGAGAAGTCTCCCATTTCTAAGTCCCTCATTTTAGGCAGACTCACTCCAACTCATTCGGCACCTACATTATTCTAGTGGTTGGCCATTAAAGGCCCATAATCCATTTCCTGAAACCTTTGGAGGTTTGCTTATACTTAAAAAAAAAAAAAAATAATAGTAGCATGCATACACCAAATGCTACATAACACCCAGCAGAGTCTGTAGAACTGTAATTACAAGTATTACCATGCCTGCAGCAAAATACAGGAGAGTGTATTCACAAATGTGAGGCAAGTGAAGATGCTTAAACAGTCTCACACAGCTCAGGGCTTTCCTTCAATGAGTTGTATCTTTTGATAACATTTTCTGTTTTCAGAGCTTTTTAGATTTTGGAGTTATGAACAAAGACTAGAAGGAGTTTTTGTTTAGGGGACACCAAGGATACAAAGATGAACAGACAATTTCTGGAACCTAATGAAAGAGACAATTTAAAAACATTTTAAAATCAACGTTGATTTTAATGTCTATGGCTACTGAACTAATAATTTTAGTAAAAAGTTGATTTTTTTTTTTCAGTGAAAATGATCTTCCCCAAGTAAACATATTGTACCATAAAAGGAATAAGAAATGTAGACTGACCAACTTATTTTAGAAAGTAATCACCGTTTGGGGACGACAGACAATGGTTAAAACATATTTCACATGGCAGCTTACATTAGAGAAAGAAGGAAAGTCACCAGTGCTCTGGTCTGGAAAACTGACTCGGGAAGTTATATAATCTGTTGTTTTCCTACTCAGCTTTGCTACCACAACGTTCATGGGTAAAGTGTTTGGTCAACCACCTGGCAATAGTCACCTAAATGGAGGTGTTACATTTGCTCCTTTTCCTCTGTAAGTTATTTATTTTATGAATTTATTTTCATAGCCTTTAAAGTTAAATATCTTTCATTTTAAGCTTCATCTCATCTTTTGGAAGAAGCACTGAAGTTGTAAATAAATATATTAAATTTGGATTGTGAGGCTTTGCAGAAAACTTAAAATTATTGATAGATTTTGATTAAATAACTGCATTAACAATAATAATGGCCTACAGAACAGATCCGGGGTGAGGAAGGAAGAGAAAACACTGGGTCATTTTTATCTAGTTCACAGTCTTTTTTTTTTTTTTTTTTTTTTTTTTTTTTTAATTCTCACGATATGTTTCTTCATTGATTCAAGAGAGGGAGAGAGAGAAATATCAGTCCGTTGCCTCACCCATGTACCATGACCAGATAGCGAACCTACAATCTAGTAATGTACCCTGACTGGGAACCATACCCATAACCCTTCAGTGCACAGGACCATAGTCTAACTACCCTGTGCACACCAGCCGGGCTCTAGTTCATACTCTTTATTGACTGAGCACAAAATATTTACAGCAAGAAGAGCTGGAAGAAAGGCTACTTTGTCCTCAGTCATAAATCCTCTTGAAATAATATGTGACCATAATACATCAAAGCATACTCAATATCACTTCACTTGACTGCTCAAGTTACCTGCCATTTAAAGAAGTGGATACTAGCATAGACAAGTTTATCAGCTGGCTTCCTGATCAATGACCATAAGCTAATCACAAGAAATCTGTGAATGAATCAAAATTATACCTATTTTTTGTCAGATTGGCAAAAGACATATTTTTTGGTGTGCTGCAGAATTTTAGTAATTAGTTTATGTGTGCATGGGATGAGAAAGATTGAAAATCAGTTTTAGGATATTCATATGGGTAAGTTTGTGTGTATGAGTAAATGACTGTCTAGATTACATATTTAAATGAGTATCTCATGTTGTTGTTGTTTTTTCCCCCTTGTCTGCTTAATCACAGAATTGCTAGTGATAAGAAAACTGATCTAACCATCTGACAGGCAGTGCATACTTACCCCCAAAAGCTAAGCACTGAGAGGTGTCAGAGCTCATTACCTTCCAAGGACAATTAGAACTGTTCCTCTAAACATTTGGTTCTTTAGGATAAAACAAAGCAATTGTCAATAAAAGTCACTTACACTACAATAACTATAGACTTTTTTTTCTTTTTAAAATAGTTTGAAGGAGTTTTTAGAGAAGTTTAAAGTAGCAGTAAGTTTTTAAAACTCTAAAATCCTAAGATTCTATATGACTGTAGGCAGTCTTTCTTTACCATGTAGCTACAAGAGTGGTTTACTCCATTACCCATTTAAAAAAAAAAAAAAAAAAAATATATATATATATATATATATATATATATATATATATTTTTTTTTTTTTTTTTTTTACAGAGAGGAAGAGAGAGAAGTAGAGTTAGAAACATCGATTAGAGAGAAACATCCATCAGCTGTCTCCTGCAAACCCCCTACTAGGGATGTGTCCGCAACCGAGGTACATGCCCTTGATTGGAATCAAACCTGGGACCCTTCAGTCCACAGGCTGATGCTCTATCCATTGAGCCAAACTGGTTTCAGCTTCATTACCCACTTTTAAGATCTTTCACAGATGGTGACCAAAATATCCTCATCTGTTACCTACTAATTACAGATCTCATAGAGCTGTGTTCTAAATAACAAGAGGTTGAAATTCCCACTGACATTCATAATTTCTGTAAATCCTGCAAGATTACGCACAACATAGTTTAAGAGACTCACAGGACTCCGAGGCTCTAAACATGGATTTTTATTAACTGAAAACATAAAAGGCTCACTCAGTAAAGTTAATTTTGCACAACTTTACAACCTTAATACTTAATATCAGGATTCTAAATGTGGGCAGTTTTTTTTTTTAAATATATTTAGCATATTAAAAATAACTGTTTTGAAAAGTGATATTTATAGAAACTGACCTAACTGGATTTAAAAGGAAACTAATAGATATTGAGTCCTTATTATGGTCTTGAATCTATGCTAGGTCTTTTCATTGATCCTTCAAGTAAACCTTGCAAATAAATATTATTGTTCCCCTTTTATAGATTAAGAAAAATAAGTCTTGAGGAAGTTAAATAATGTGTCAAAGTTCACACAACTAGATCTGTCCCATTCCAATTTGAAGCAATAATCTTCCTCCCCTTCATTCTCCCCTTCAAAGGAGAAAAATTACATAGAAGTTGCCTTAAAACTACAAAATATAGCATTATCTCTGAACATTTAGGGGAAAAAAATTTTTTATATAAAAATGGCTATAAAAAAAAACTTACATCACCTTTAAACGATTCTTTCTCGAAGCCCACTTATTTGAGAGAATTCATGAAGAGTTAGTAATTTCTTAAGGTAAAAGCAGATTTTTAAAGTTGAATTCGCCACATATTGTCCGTAGGAGTCTGACAAATCCAGTTTGGCTGTCAGGTATTTGTTTGGGAAAAGTGCACTGTGTGTCCTCCTCCTTTCCCTCCATTGCTTCCAAAGAGTTTGCCCTGATGGAGATGGGCTGCAGGTTAGAAGCAGCAAAGGGAAGAATGAGGGAACATCTGAGCCAGCTTGATCCAACCGCCACAACGCAGCTGGCACAGACATATTCACAGACCAGTTACTGGGGCAGGCGACTCTCTAGAATCCAGGGTCCAGATAGCTGCAAACAACTCACTTCCTGATTCCTATGGGCAGAACCAAAGCCTCCTTTGTTGCTTCTGAGCAAAGTTGTTCCTGCTTGCCCCTTTGTCGGTGTGGGCACAACTCCATGATTCCCTGTGTTCGGGCCACAGGCCTCTGCTATGCATGGAGAAGGGAGCGGGCACAGAGAGAGGTGTCCCTGCTCTTGCAACAGGCTCCATGATCCAGGAGCAGAACAAAAATACTGCCAAGTGTTAGCTATTTAAAGAGCCAAACTTTTAGGTTTGTTTAGGTTTTAACTTTATTAAACTGAAAAACCCTATTTTCAATTCTATTTGTTGGCATCTTTTCCCTCCCTCCTACTTGGCTTTCAAATAACCAATTCCAGTTGGGGTTCAAACTGTTTGCCAGGGTGGACTTTGGTTAA